TCATGAGAGTAAATATTGCACATCCTCTTAAATTCCTGATGTTGTCATTCTTTTAAATGTTAGGTATTCTATTGGATGTGGACTAACACTGCTTTTAGATTTTTTTTGAATCTCCATACTGTTTTTTTTTATAATGGCTGCACCAATTTAGATTTCTACAAATAATATACAAAGGTTCTCTTCTCTCATTGATAATACTTAGTATATTTTGTCTTTTGATAATAACCTTTTTTACAAGTATGGAATGATATTTATCTTTTATTTACATTTACCTGATGATTACTGATGCCTAAGATCTTTTCATATACTGTTGAACATTTATATATCTTCTTTTGAGAAATATATGTCATGTTATTTGCCCATTTTTAATTGATTTTTGCTATTGAGTTCTTCACTTCCTTATATATTTTGGATATTAACTCTTTGCCAGGTGTATGGTTTGCAAAAACTTTCTCCTAATCTGTAGGTTCTCTTATCATTTTATTAATTATTACCTTTTGTACATGTGGATATCTGGTTTACCAATTTAAGATTTTGTCTTTCCCTCATTGTTTTGTTTTTTTCCTTTATCATATAATCAGTTTGCTCTAGGTGCATGGATTCATTTCTGGATTTTTCTGTTTTGTCCTAATTAGTCTTTATTTTTGTACCGGGGACCAAACTCAGGACCTTGGGATTGTGAGGCATGCAGCGGCACCACTGAGTTAAATCCCTGGCCCTCGTGTTATCTTGATCTATATAGCTTTGTAATATATTTGAAGTGAGAAAGTTGATACTTGTGGCTTTGTTCTTCATTATCAAGATCACCTTGGCTACTCAAGGTCTATTAATTTTAGGATTGTTCTATTTCTGTGAATAATGCTATTGTCATTTTATAGTGATTGCATGGGCTGTAGACGATTTTGAGTAGTGTTGATATTTTAACAACATTTATTCTTGGACACAGGATACTGACTTATCTTTGTCTCCTACAACTTCTTTTATTAGTGTTTTATAATTTTTGATGTACAAGACTTTCACTTCTTTAATCTTATTTTGATATTTTGGTTGCTATTGTAAATGCTCTGATTCATAATTTACTTTTTGAATAGATTGTTGTGTATAGAAATCTACTGCTATTTGTATGCTTATTTTTTCATCCTGTAAGTTTATTGAATCTATTTTAACAGTTTTTGTGTAGAAATACTACTGATGTTTTATGCTTATTTTTCATCCTGCATCTTTACTGGATTTATTAGTTCTATTTTTTTTTTTTTTGGTGGTATCTCTAAAGGTTTCTCTGTATTTTATCATATCATTTGCAAACAGAGATAATTTTACTTCTTATTTTCCTATTTGGATGCTTATTTTTTTCATGCATAGTTGCTCTGGCTACAGTTTCCAGTACTATGTTGAAAAGAAGAATTGGGAATGGGCATTCTTGCCCTTCACTATGTCATAGAGGAAAAGATTATGGCATTAGCTGTGGCTTTTTAATATATTACTTTCATTGGGTTGAGGTAAATCCCTTCTATACCTATTTTGTTGAAAGAGCTATAGTTATGAATGGAGATTTAGCTTTGTCAAATGCTGTTTTGTGTCTTTTTTTTCTGTTGCACACATTTATTTCTAACAATGTGATGGTTGATTTTTTATACATTTATACATTCTTGCTTCTCAGATAAATTCCATTGAGTCATGATGTGAGACACTTTAAACAAAACGTGTTATTGAATTTGGTTTGCTAAGGATATTTTGCATTTTAATTTGTTTATCAGGTAAATATCCTATGGTTTTATTTTCTTGTGGTGTCTATGTGGTTTTGGTATTAGGCTGATGCTAGCCATGTATAAAAAGTTTGGAAATGGTCCTTTATATATTTTTTAAAGATTTTAAAGGGTCAATATTAGTTCATCTTTGAATGCTTGGTTGAATTTACCCATAAGGACATCTGGTGCTGGGCTTTTCTTTTGGGAGGATTTTGATTACTGATCTAATTGCTTTGTTTTTTTAATTGGTCAGTGCATCCTTTCTACTTGTTTGGGGGAATAGGTACCAGGAATCAAACTCAGGGCCTTCCCCTTGCCAGGCAGGCACTGTATCACTGAACTACATCCCCAGCCCCCTTTCTACCTATTGGTGCTGTTTTTGGTGCACGTTATATTTCTAGGAATTTACTTATTTTTCTATAGTATTTAATTTGCTGGTATATAATTTTTCATAATATTCTCTTAGCTTTTATATTTTAGTGACATCCTTTATAATGTTTCCTTTTTTATTTCTGATTTTATTTGAATATTTTTAGTCTAAGAGTTTGTTTGATTTTGTTTTTCTTTACAAAACACTAACTCAGCTGGGCATGGTGGCACATGCCTGTAATCCCAGCACTTGGGAGGGTGAGGCAGGAGGATCACTGTGAGTTCGAGACCAGCCTGGGCTACATGTGAGTTCCAGGTCAGTCTCACTACATAGTGAGACCCTGTCTCAAAAAAACAAAAACAAACAAACAAACAAAAAACTAAAACAAAACACCAACTCAATTTTGTTGATTTTCCATTGTTTTTATATTTATGTTTGATTTATTACTACTCTACATGAGAGACTGCCAATAAAGGCTTACCAAATCCATTAATAGATGCATATCCTTTTCTCTAAGGCAGTTAAAGAATTGGTTGTTTATATTATTTGGTTCCAGTTTACAGTGCATTTCATAATTCCTGCTAAACTGTGATCATATAGCACTGTCAGTTTTGGGTTACATTTGACTCCCACTGGGACTGTCATTTACAAGCAAAACATATATTTTATCTTTTCCATATCCCACTGATAATTAATTTAGTAAATTTAGAACATAGTAAGCTAAAAAATAAATGTGTTTTATTTTCTAGTTTTCTCCTAATACTAACTCCAGTAATTTTGGGGCTCCACAAAAATACAATCACTGATATGACTCTGTTATTTTAACTATTCTTTTAATGTTACATTTGATTCCATGCCCATCTTAAATTCTGTAGTGCATCATAATAACCATAGTTCTTCTCTTTTATACACCTTCAAACTTAATTTACCACTTCTTTTTAAAATACTGTTTACTCTTCCTACATTTTTCCATGGGTTTTTTTTTATTCATTAAGCTTTAAATAAATCATATATGTGATGAAGACTCAATCCTTGATGCATCTAATCTGAATCTTTTCCCTGATATCCAGTTGCCTGTTCTCTCATCTCTACTTGTATAATTACAGTGATCTCAAACATAACATCTCCAATACTTGAACTTATTCTCTACACTTATTCCAGATCTGCTTCTCTAGCAATTATCTTCTTCTCAGTAAATGACAGTTCCATCCTATCAAACACTTCTTTTTCTCGTGATGAATACCTATTTCATTAGCCAGTCTAGTTGGCTAATATAAAAACGTATCCAGGTCTCAAACTGTTCCCCTTACTTACTTTGCCATTATTCTGCTCAAACCCAGTATTACTTCCTGCCTAACCAAATGTATGGCTACGCCCTCTTGTTAAATCCCATTTCCCCTTATTCCAATTTTCAACATAGCATTAGAACATTCCTGTTAAGCCTCAAGTTAAATCATGCAATCCTTTTTGTCAAAGCCCTGCAGTAGTTTCCCTTCTCATGTGAAATCAATATGGCTATTTTTTACCTCAGTGATCTTACTTCATACTTCTTTTTTCTCTTACTCAGTCATTTCACCCACAGCTGCATTAATTTAACTTTTATCTATAAGCAAAATGTATAGTAAAAGGACTCTGGCATAAACATGTTTTTTCTTCAATCACAAAGACATTTGACAATGGGAATTTGTTTCTTAATCTGAGTGTTAACAAAATCAATCCATGAAATTTACACATATATTTTTCATTTAAATTATTTTTTTTTGTGTGTGTATGAAACATTCTTATTGGAAAAGCCAAGTATCAGGACCCATGCAGAGGATCTTGATCTCTTGCTGGATACTACAATGTAAAGTAAGACTCAGAGACAGAAATCAAACTGAAACAGGGAACTGGGATGGTCAGAGCTGAGCAAGTAAAGACCCTGAAACAGCCCTAACCGTTGATATTTATTGATTACACAATCATTTGTTAATTTGGGGTGAGGGCACTACTTGTGGTTGCTAAAGATACACTGCAGACACAGGCAAAGCTTGTAAAAGAAGGGACAAAAATTCTTGCGTTAGGAACAGAAGATGCGGTTTTTCTATAAAATGCAATACTACTCAGCCATAAAGAGTGAGAAATTAGAGTCATTCATAGGAAAATTACCAAGACCTGTCATGTAAAGGTACAAGATCCCAATGATGAATATAGCTGTACTGTATACCTAAAATACCCCAATAAACTCAATGAGAAAAAAAAACAGACCAGATATAAGTTGTGATTAAAGATTAACTTGTCTTTTTCAGTTAAAAATGTTTCAACGCTGGGAGCAGAATTTGGGTAATGTCTGGCTTAGGCTGCTGTGTTATCCCGTATCATCAGAGCCCCACAGCCCCACGGACCATTTCTCCGGTCTCTGCTGTGGCTGTTGGGGTGGGGGTGGGGGTGGGCAAAAAAAAACAGACCAGATATAAGTTGTGATTAAAGATTAACTTGTCTTTTTCAGTTAAAAATGTTTCAACGCTGGGAGCAGAATTTGGGTAATGTCTGGCTTAGGCTGCTGTGTTATCCCGTATCATCAGAGCCCCACAGCCCCACGGACCATTTCTCCGGTCTCTGCTGTGGCTGTTGGGGTGGGGGTGGGGGTGGGCAATGCTAACTTGACCACCATCCACAGTGCTCTCATGAGTCGTATAGGCTTCAGCCAGACTTACTTCTTAAAACAAGCCAACTGTAGGGTTAAAGCTTTCCAGCCTGCACTGCTTGCAGCCTTCTTTGGTCATAATCAACAGGGTGGTCTTCTTTCTACCTTTTCTAGAATATTGTTATACTTAGCTACTCTAAGTTGATTAATTAAAAATTGACAATGATAAATATTTTATTAATGCTTTTTAATTTAGGTCATTATTATTAACTAGAGAAAAGTTCATCGTGAAATTCAACCAAACACAGAATCCAGTAGAGAAGAAAGAACTGTTGGAACAAGCGAGAAGAAACATTCTCAGATGTAAGGTATGGTATATTATTCAATTACTTAGTACGGGAACTTTGTTTTATAGTTGCTGAATGATTACATGTTCTAAAATATTGAAAGAAAGAATAAGAACATAGGTACACCTTTCTTTAAAGAAATTATAAGTAGCCTTTCCGGCGGTGAGGACCTCACCACGAGAACATGCCTCTTGCAAAAAGATATCCTTCATCCCTCTCCAGAGGACGGGAAGAGGCAGTAAGAAGAGCCTCGTGCAGAGCCCCAATTCCTACTTCATGGACATGAAGTGTCCAGATGCTGTGAAATCACCACGGTCTTTAGCCTGCACAGACAGTAGTTCTGTGTGTAGGCTGCTCCACTGTCCTCTGCCAGCCTACCGGAGGGAAAGCAAGGCTCACAGAAGGATGCGCCTTCAGGAGGAAGCAGCGCCAGCAGTGCCCTGAGTCAAGATAAAAGGGAAGCCATCCCAGCAAACATATTTTGGGTAAAAAAAATTATAAGTAAGCAAAGGGAAAATATTAATGCAAATTAAAGAGTATAAGTTAAGTAATTAAATTTTCAGTGGCTTTTTGTGTGAAGGCTCCTACTCTTGTAAATTACTAGAGAATGTGATCATTGACATCCGTCTCGGAGCTCACAGCTACACATCGAAGTCTGGGAGATAGAACTTGAAAGTTTTACCATTTCTTTAAAAATTTATCTGAGGTATCATGTGGCAAAAAAAGTAAAGAAAGCTGTTGTAAATCTTCACTATGCAAATAGAAGGTACTTTTTTTTCCCTGCACCTAATGTGAAAAGTACATTCTTTAAGGTAAGATGTTAAATCTCAAATATTCAAACAGAAAAGGAAGTAAAATAAACTTTTATCTTGCCTTTACTACATTTGACTCTAAGTTTGATTTATGAGCTTTGTCTACATTTTTTTTTCCTGGTACCGGGGATAAAGCTCAAAACCTATTTGACTCCATTTTTAGGTCCTTATTTTTATCCTCATTTACTCCCCCTCCCTCTCATCCTTCTATCTCCTTCCTCTTCCCAATTGAAAAACATTTCCCCACTTTCTATTCTCTATCTTTTATTCTGCTCTTCATTAATAATTTTGGGTTTCTCATATACAAGCACAATTCATGAAATAAATGCACAAAGTTAAGGTACAATGTTAGGTGCTTTTTTTTTGTTTGTTTTGTAATAGTGGTTGTTATTTTTTAGTTAAGGGTTGTTCATATATTTACACTTTTGAAATAATCCATTTAAAACATCTGATGAAAAAATAGTACGCATGCAGAGAGGTGCCAGGGGAGGTACATTCATCAGTAAGCTTCTTTCCAAGTGGCTAATTAGCATTGATCCATCAACATTGGTAGCCAGAGTTGTATAAAAAATTGGTATCATCCTTATTTCTTCAATAAATATTTTATACAATCAGATGCATCTCTTGGGAAAATAAGGTGGAAGTAACCACTGGAAGACATAGTAAAGATTATTTTATTAAATAATGAATGATATCACCCAGAATATTAACATTCTCTACAGGAAGTACCAATACAGTTTGAAAAAACATGTCAAAAATACAAATAATAAAGACAATAATATAAAGTTGTGTATAATTCTGGCCACAAAGCATCAACTTCACAGAGTGACTTTCAGAATATAATTAAGAGATGATAAAAATGAATAAGCAAATAAAAGATGTACATTTTTGTTTGCCTTTTTTCATGTTTCCCCATGACAGAGAAAACTGGGCCTCAGTTCCTTGGGCTGTGGGAAGCACGTGCATCTCCCTTTTGCATGGACTGAAGTAATGTATCTGGCACAATGCAAAGGAGAAATCCAAGACGGTATGTGCTCTAACTCAGCTCTTCTGAGGAGCCGAGGTATTTTCGAGATTAGCAGTTAAGACATAATTTGAGATCTTTAATTTCTAGAATTTTTTCAGGACACAAGAAAAATTTGTTCTTTTCTATCAAAGTAACTCATAATGTTTCATTATAAAAGTTTCTTTGGTAATTTTGAATTTATGAATTTAACTGCTCAACTTTTTAATTACAAAATTATTTTTAAAAACTTTTTCTCATTATAGTCTTTATTACTTTTTCTAAAATTAGCAACTAATTAAAAAGTAATATAAATTGTCATTTAGTGGTTTCCAATTACAATAAGCACTATACATTAGAAAAGTTTATTTCTGCATTTTATAATTCTTACTCATAAAACATTAATCAAATGGCCTTTTTAAACTTATTTTATAGAGCTAATTTTCCTCATTACCTTTTCATTTATCCCTTCTTATTTATATGTCTCTTTTCAAGCACCCTCTAACCAGTCTAAAAAAGAAATTAAATAACATTATTTTTAAGGGGGTAAAATTCTTTCTCTCGTTATCCTAAATGTTTTGTACGTCCCTTTTAAGATGAGTTTCAGAATGTTAACCATGTAAGGTCAGGGAGTATTGCCCCATGTAAATTGGGATTGTAATGCTCTCTAGGAGCTTCAAGCAATAAGAACTGTTTTGCATTTAACTTGCCTTTATATCCCCTTTAGCCCATGCTATTCACAGCCTGACCGCTCTTAAATGTTTAAGTGACACTGAGGTAAAGACCTTTAGTTTGTTACCAACCAGTAGGCAAGTGCTTGATTCATTTTTGTGTTCTGGCCTCTGGCGGTCATGTGATTCAGAAGGTGTGTCCTTTGCCCAGTCCAGGGGTAAAGCACACTTGGCTTGAATTAGAGTAATTCCTATTAAGTTACCAGTGCATAGATTGGGAAGAGTCACATGGCTGATCCTGTCCAGAAGAATATAAAAACATCCTGTTATGAATACTCTTTTTTTTTTGGTTTTTTGAGACAGGGTCTCACTATATAGTTGAGACTGACCTGCAACTCACTATGTAGCCCAGGCTGATCTTGAACTCACAGCAATCCTCCTGCCTCATTCTCCTGAGTGCTGGGATTACAGGTGTGTGCCACCACGCCCGGCTCAGAATACTCTTGTTAACTTGCTTTGGGGGGAGAAAGTATCTCTTCCCTCCTTGTACCCCTCTTTATTTCCCTAGTTTTCTCAGTAAGATGTCCAGACCGGGAGCTTGGGTCACTATCATATGGTGTCTTTATGTTCACCAGGCCAACTAGCAGGTAGAGAAATGTGCACACAGTGGGCAATTTTATTAACCATTTTTGGACCCTTTCCAGTTCTGATCTTGTAAAATAACAAACACCTTTATTTTGAAGATATTTTCTGTTGAGCTTCATGTTACACAAAAAGCATTTTGACTTATTTGGACATTGACCTCCTGAAGATTTCTTAAACATGGTTTCTGCTCACCATCCCTAGAATAATAAAAATCATCTCCTAATAGGATTTCCACCAGTATTCTTGTTGTCTTCTATTCTGTAGTCCACTGTCTATTTAGCAGTGGCCATTTAACTGCTTAAATAATTTCCAGTGACATCTGATTTCACTTAAAATGATTCCCAACTGTTTGGAATGGTCGCAGCTTTTCTGTTGGATTTCTTGCATGGCAGCTGAGAGTTCCAGAGCTGGGGGTTGGGGAAACGGATTGGAGGAAGCTGTACCGCCTTTTCTCATCTGCCTTAGAAGTCATGCAGGTCACTTCTGCTGCATACTGTCACTTCAAGGAACCACAAGGACTACTTGAGTTTAGGGGAATGGATGGTAGATTTTATCTCTTGATGGAAAGGGTTGTAAAGAATTTGAGATACGTTTTAAAACCAGTATCTGATGAGCAAATAGTTAACTGCAAGAATTAATTACAGCATGTACGGAAACTGGGTAATTTTTAAATGACAGTTTCTATTTTTTAATATTTCAGATGCTTTAAATATGCTTTACACTTCCTTGGACCATGCTCCCTTAGATTATGATCATCTGCCTGCCTTATTTTTTGTTGCGGAATCAGTTTTATATAGACTGTGTTGTGATGCATTCCTGAAGGAGTTTTTATATTCTGTTGAGATAAAGCTGACAAAGGTATGTTTTGAACATTTCTACGTTTCAGATGGTTAGTCTCTATTTTATGACATCTGTTTTAGCACTAAGACAAGACAGTTCCTTTTATTATGGAATACTCTCAGGTTTGATAATTTGACTTTATGCTGTAAATAGTACATTATTGCCTGATATTCAAGTAGACTCAATCTGAGAAAATATAATTTCACAAGCTAAGAAAATATTTAATCACAATCAATACATTTATTGATTTTTGGAATATATATAGATTTTATCTTTTTCATTTTAAGGAACTTTAACACTACTGAATTTGTAATTTAAAATTGCTGACACATAATCTTAAATAGCTTCTCAATTTATGAAGATGAGTAGTTCTTTCAGTCTTGTCTGTTATTTTAGAGCTTTATCAAACTTTCTTCACTTAGGTCATGTTTTACAGATTTCTTGAAGCCATGTACTTTTACTCTATAATGCTCGTGATTGACTGTTGGAAACATTATTAGTCAATTAAATTTGGCTTAATACTTTTATTGTAAAGAGAGTAAAGAAAGACAAGATTTCTTTAATATATAGCATATATATGAAACAAGTATAACTGATTATGCAAAATGAAGTTTTTCCTTATTCAGTTTTGAATATAGACTCTTAGAAAACAAAACATGAGAGAATATTCATGAATCGGCCTTACAGTAGGATATTTTGGGGAGCTGACTGTATTTCTATTTTCATAAATCTACCATAGATATTCTTTAACATATTGAGAATATAAGATTTATGGATCGAGGCAAGAACAGATATGGCACACATAACAGCAAATGATTAAGCAAAAGACTATAGCTTTTTATGGGAGGATAGGAGGAAAAGGGTTAAAACGTTACCAATAGTTTTCTTGGAATTGTAAGACTATAAAGATTTTTTTGGAAACTCCATTTTTGATATATGTATTTTGTTTAAAATGGAAAACATGGAGATATATAAAGTTAAAATATAAGTACAAATATGAAATAACATAAAATGTAAATGAGTATAATTGAAAAAGAATGAAATGGAAAAACTTAAGTAAATCTGGTTCATCTGTCCTTTCCTTCTTATTTCGTTTAGTGGACTTCCTCCGTTTCTTAATTTTTGTATTTCTGCTCAAAAAATAACTATAAAATATAGTCTTATCCATTTCATCTGTTGCTTATGTGTTATGCATGTCATGCCATTTTAAACAGTTTATTAGCATATGTTTGTGGTCCATGACGAATATGTCTGTTACAGGGTATTGGTAAATACTGCATCTTGATGTTCTTTAAACTTCTCTCTCTCATTCCCTCGCTGCTGTCTTTGCCCGACCCAGATGCCCTTCTCATCATCAGGTTAGGGCACTTGAACATTTTATTGTAGCAGCCACAAACAAGCAGCACTTCGCTATGTGCTTTGTACAGTGAGAAGTACCTTAAATATAATAGACTTGATATTAATTTACTGAATTGTCTTGATAATCCTACGACAGAGGTGCTGTTATTATCTGACAGGAAATCACTGAAGTTTATGTGATCTACCGATGTCCCAGCAGTCAAGGCTTTGAAAACCGAGAGATTCCAGAGTCCACTGGAAGCTCTACCATGATATAACACACCTACCTAGTTCTCAGATTTACTAATTTTAAAGTTTATTCCTTATTGCTTTAGCCAATATAAACTAGTTAGAGGAAGTAAGCAAGACCTACATCTATATGTACTTTTCTTGCCTTTGGAGAACTGTCATTATGTAACTTATAATACATTGATTGTAACCGTCCCTTTGCTGCTTTATTTTTTTTGGTATTGGGGATCGCACTTATCGCACTTAGGACTTTGTACTTGCGAGACAGGAGTGGTACCACTGAGCTAAATCCCTGGCCCTGCTCCTTTCTTTTTGACAGCAAGTGTTATTGAAAGGTATAACTGTCAAGGCTTTACCTGCATCCATCCGCACCATTTTGTAAATTTATTTTTTATTTTTATTGCTACCTGTTTGCTTACATAATGATTGCATTCATCACGGTGAGTACCTACATGTGCAGAACACATCTTCATTCTTTTCACTTCTCCTGCCGTTCTTCCTCCTTCCCTCCATCTGAGGCCCCCCTTCCTGTTTGCAGATCTGTCTCTGTTTCCTGTTATTTTTATTTTGCTCTTTAAATTATTTCTACTCTGGGTTTATCACAAGAGAAACAACACATTTAGACTGTTGTGTGATTTCTTTCACTTAACATTATTGTCTGAAGGTGTATCTACTTTGAACAAATAACTCAAATATATCCTTCTTTGTGGTACAGTTGTGCTCCTTTGTGAATAAATGCTGCATTTTCTTTACCCACTTATCTGTTGATGGATATATAGAAATATTTCCAAGATTTAGCTCTTATGAATTGTGCTGCCATAAATATGGGTGTGCTGTATCTGTGTAATTTGATGTCATTAACTCTTTTCGAAAGATACCTAGAATGAAAGAGGTGAGTCAAATGGAATTTATAGTTTTAACATTTAACTGATTTCCATAATTCTTGTACTAGTTTGCACTCCCACCAACAATGTAAAAGGGCAGTCTTAACAGTCTTTGTTATTCTTTGATAGTTTGATGATGGCCATTCTTTCTGGGGTAGGATGGAATCTCAGTGTTGTTAAACTGTATTTCAGAGACATGGAACATTTTTTTCATGTATTTATTGGCAATTCATATTTCTTATCTGTGAAGTATCTATTCAATCCAGTGGCCCATTTCTTGGTTGAATCTTTTATTTTTGGAATCTATTGTCCTGTGTTGGAGGAGTGGCTGGCAGAAACTTTTTTTCCATTCTTTGTTTCTTCACTCTGCTGATTGTTTCTTGTGCTTTTCAGATGCTTTTTTTTTTTTATGATTAAACATTTTTTAAAAATTTTTTAAAAATTTAATTTATTGGCACATTTTAGGTAGACAGTAGTTACATTCATTAGTGGGATCTTGTATCTTTACATGCCAGGTCTTGGTTCTCGTTTTTTCCCCTTGTCCCAACCCTCCCTTCACCATCCCCTCCCCTCCCCCCTTCAAACACTTTAATTCCATTTTTACATTTTCTCATATTTTTTTTTCCTTTTCCCTTATTCCCCCTTCCCTATCCTTCTCACTGTCCCTACACCTTTGGTCCTTTTCTTCCTATTTGCTAAGTGCCCGATTAGGATCTTGAGTAATATTTTAGTTTTTCACACCAGAGATACTATTCGGTATTTGCATATGTGTGCCTTATTTATTTCACTTAGAAGTATATCCTCAAAATGTACCCATTTAACTATGAATAAATCTACTTTCTCATTCTTTATGGCTGAGTAGTATTCTATTTTGTAGAAAAACCACATCTTCTTTATCCATTTTCTAATTGATGGGCAGATCAGCTGTTTCCAACTTTTAGCTATTATAAACTGTGCCACTATAAACATGGGTGCGCATATATCACTGTGGTATGCTTCTTTTAATTCGTTTGGAAAGATACCCAGCAGAGGGATGGCTGGGTCAAATGGAACCTCTAATCCTAGTTCTTTGAGGTATCTCAATATTGACTTCCATAGTGGTTGCACCAGTCTGCACTCCCACCAACAATGGAGAAGGATTCCTTTCTCCCCACAACCCTGCCAACATTTATTATTGTGTGATTTCTTGATAGCAGCCATTCTTTGTGGGTTGAGGTGAAATCTCAATGTTGTTTTCATTTGCATCTCTCAAATGACCAGTGATGTGGAGCATTTTTTCATATATTTAATAGCATCTTTTACTTCTTTGTCTGAGAAATGTCTGTTCATTTCAGATGCCCTCTTTAGAATTGGGTCTTTATATTTGGG